AATCTGTGGTCGTCAAATGAGAAGCTTTTACGGTCTTCCTGCGATTTTCTGCCAAAATAAAAGTTCTCTGGTTAAATGCTTTAAAGCAAAGTAAGCAAAGACAGACACTAATATTAGTATTGTAATTTTACCGTTGTTCTGTAAAAAAAATCCTATTATTAAATACTTGTTTTTATTTTACAGTACAATAGCATTATATATTTCTTTATTGATTTAATTTTTATAATTTAAAATTTAATAAAATAAAATAATATTTTGAATAATATATATAATAACAACAACAACAACAACAACAATAATAATTATTATTATTATTATCAGAGGAGGTTACCTGTTTTATTTCACATGTTCCATTTTAAACAATTTTAGTTTATTTTTAAATGTAATATAAATACTCTGGGGAAAAAAACAGGTGTTGAAACAATTTTCATTCAGAAATGGCTAGTAAATTTCACAAACAATTAAAATGGCAACAAAAAAAAAACAGCAACAAAAATATCTACTTACAGTAAATGTACTTCTATAATCTCTTTTTTATTTACTACTTGGAAAAGTATGCTATTTTTTTACTTGTATATTATATACATGATATATTATACCTTTATAAATATTATATGATATCTTTATAAATATAATTGTCACACCCCTGGACTGTCTGTCTTGTGTTTTGCTCCCCATTACCCAGTTTCTCCCTTGTTGATTATGTTCGTTGATGCCAGGTGTTCCTCGTTTTGTTCTACTTAAGCCCTGGTTTTTCCTGTGTCCTGCGTCCTGTCTTAAATCGTCCTAAGGTTCTTGTGCTACGTGTGTTAATAAAATCTGTATTTTGTAAATTCTCCCACGTCTCCTCGCTCCTTCGCTCCTCGTTCCTACACAGTAGGCAGTACCGTGACATTAGGGCCTTACGCACCACTTTAGTTCCAGAACTAAATGTACAGTACTAAAGTACTGGGACGATTTTGCGCTAACTATTTCCCAGTACCATTTAAAGGGTTGCATTCGCACCGACAGTGTGTACTAAGAAGTGACGTAAGCTGGTCGACAGCGTCGTCATTTGTGCGCGGCGTTCAACAACAGAAACAAAGAAGAACAACATTAACAACAGGAGGATGGAGGACGCTGTGATCGGAGCTGTTTTTGTTGTGTCTCGCGGGTTTCACAATAATGGACATGGAAAGTCGACGTATACGTAAAGCGATTGAAAGAACGGAAAGGAGGACTAAGAATCTCCAACGACAACTGGCAGTGCTACATTTGCTACAAGTGCCTGCACTTCAGCGTCCGTCCATCTATCGCTGTTCTCCATACTTGCGAAATAATTTTTACACAATGTTTACAGTATGTTTACACGGCATTTTAAATCATGGTGGGTGAGGGCGTTTTCATACGCATTTGGCCAATCAATGTCTACTTACGTCATGATTAGTACCAGTTGTGCTGGTTAGACCCTGCTCCGGAGTAGGAGCTAATTTGGTTCTCGAAAAAGGCAGTCCGGTACTAAAATCACACCCAGTTCCGGCGGTGCGAAAACGCCAAAAAGTGGGTAGTTCCACAATTAGTTCTGGTACTATGAAAAGGTTCCCGCGGTGCGAAAGGCCCTAGTAATACATTAACAAACATAAATATATACATAAAATATAAATATAGTATAAATTAATTCTTTTTTTAATTAGTTCCACAAGTCACAAAGACAAAAAAGGTCGTAAGTATTTATATGGTTTCACATATAGTTGATGTCACAGAATTGTCGAAGAAATAAGTCAAAACTTGTGTGTTTGATTTTCTTTCATGACCTGAAGGGCTGCTTTCCAGGAAATCTCCAGCTTGTTTTGGTTCTGAAACCCTCACGTCTCCTCCAGAGGGCCATCGCTGATGTCAGTATGAGGTTACATAGGGATGACTTCAAATTGAAGGTACCGGTAAGAATGCTTCTGTCTGTCTGGACCCTCAGCACGTCCGTTCATTCGCCATACGATGCGCATGGCTCCCCTTGAGTGTTTGTTGTAACCATGATCACTCGTCCACTAAATTATTGACACAGCCTGTCACCCTGTTGCATTATGCATGTCTGAAAGGGTGTTAACCTACAGATAATCTCTAACCCTGTTTTAATGCCACTTTAGAAGATACAGGGAGCAGTGTTACAAAAACATTGAGGTTCCTGCACTGTGCATTAAAGTGATGCCTTATCGCTGCGCATGAATGTGTGTAATGCAACTTTCCCACATATTCATGTGTCTATGACTGGCATATGCTGCTGCATGAGATTATCATCTGCATGCTGCTACTCTTGTGACGTTAAGGAAATGAAGATTGTCGCGTTGTCGTGTACAGTACATACTTCAATTTCACAAAATGTAATCTGCAGATGAGTTAGATAGTTATCAGTGGGGAATTTACAAAGGAAATGTGAATGGGGCAAATCCATAAACATTAAAATGCTCATTGTTTTAATAGTACAGCCGTGAACAGTATGAGTGAATTTAGTGTGAAGACATGATTTTAGTGTGAACAATTGCTTACTAACCTATTTTGTGTAAAGTTATATCCCAAGTTTTCAACTTTGTTGCCATTGCAATGTAACACCATAAACTAAAAAGACTGTAAAAATGAGGATTTCAACAGTTTTACAGCTTTAATTATACACAAGTTAACAGAAGAATAAATGGAAGTGCTTTTTTTGCCATATATGCATGCATATTTTTAACAAACTCAAAGTTCGCAAAGGTGCAAAGTGTGCTTTCCTGTGAAAGCATTGTATGAGTGGTTTGAGGTTGACTGTTAATGCAGTCTTCACCTGCAACATTGTTGTAATGTAGGACAAACGTTTAGTTTCTGTACCCCAAGTACAATGAATGTATATTATGGTTAATTCTTTGTTCTTTTCTCTTTTCTTGCAGATTGTTATGCTAAATTCCCTGTCAGACTTGCATGGCTACATTGACAAAGGCCAGCTGACCTGCGATCTTGGGGGAACCCTGGACTACTGCCACAGTCAATGGATTCACCATCGCACAGTATGAAAGTTAAAAATGAATATGATATTTACAGACAGACAAAACATCAATGTACTGTATGTACAATGCAAAAAAGGCTCAGTATTGTAAAAGCAAGATATGTAACCTCCCATATATATTATCTGTTCAGACTGTTAAAATGTTGTGCCCTAGGCCATTGAGAACTTTGCATTAACGGTGAAGAGCACAGCACAGATGCTGCAGCAGTTTGGAACTGACCTGGCAGAAACCGAACTTCCCAATGACGTGCAGTGCACCAAAGATTTGCTCATCACACACACCGAAAAACACGATAAGCTCAAGGTAGCTCCTCACATTTATAAAACAGTAGTTCATGTTGGTTCTAAAGTTGTCGTTTGATTCCTATAATGCGTGTCATTATAGTTTTGTCCTTTATTTTATTGCCTACTGTTTTTTTTTATATATATTGTTATCGGTTCCGTGACTTTGGGAACCGTTTCTAAAATAGTGTGGAACAATAATACACAATCTGTATTTATCTTGATTTACTGTATTTTGCATGTATACAAATGATTTCAGTATATTTATATGCCACGTTTCCTTCTCCCTGCACAGGATGAGCTGAAATTGGCTATAAAGCAAGGAAATACTCTGCTGTCCTGTATCAAAGACCAGGCCAGCAAAACCGAGAGCCACATTTTGAACCCGGATGAGGTAGAGAACCAAACAACTGCTGAGAGGTTTGTCAAAAGATTACACAATTCATTATAATACTCTAGCTTAAGTAGAATCCCAGCTAACAAAAGAATGTTGGTAATGCGAACGTTCCGTTTTATCATTTTGTAAACATTATCAGAATTAGGGCTGCACGATTAATCGAATGCGATTGTCATGCGCATTTTATTTACTACACATAGCCGTAGTTCACTGACAAGTTGCGGCAAAAAATTTTTAGACGATTTTATTGCGCAATTATGAAATCGAAGAAATCGTTCGCGATAATGACAGCTGTTTGCGTAGCTTCTCAGTGAACTACGGCTCTGTGAAGTAAATGCTGCTCCATCTGAAAGCATGTGAAAATACCACATTTAATAACATATTTTTACTCCAAACTCACTTCATAACATCAGTCGAGTGTTTGAAATAAATCCTTCTGTGAGATGATGTGGCTTCTTACACAGAATAAGGCACACAACATATTTCATAGTATTTAAGCAGTGATAAAGGCATTGCATTATAAATATACTTTATTTTAATGAAAATTATAATAATAAGAACTCAGATAAACCGTATATTGCCGTAGTCGTGTGTTTATTAGTTACATTGAATCAATGAAAGCAGTTGAATCTTCTGTTTATTCAGCTGCAGCGATTTCTTGGGTTTCTTCTGCGAGGCGTATTTGGAGTTTCAGCGCGAGAGCGCCCTCTGGCCTTTGGATGGAGATTTACTGCTGATCACAGAACCGTGCTTCACTGAAAGATACGCATGACAATCGCAGCTTCTGTCAAATCGCGATCTCGATTCCATTTCGATTTATCGTGCAGCCCTAATCAGAATGTTACATTTGAATGTTCATTTTGCAAACTTTATTGGAATGTTACAATCAACATTTGGAAATAAGCCGCAATATATAAAAATGTTAGACGAATGTCCGACTAAAATGTTTCGAGAAAAAAAAAATTCCATGGACGACAGATAAATAATGTTTTTGTGCTGAAGTTTTGTGAACATAGCGACCAGACCAGCTAGCAAAAATATGTTGCTAACATTCCCATTCAGTTACGAAAATGTTATTTCTGAATGTTTTCTGAACATCTTCTTGGTTATGCAAACGTTAAGGGAACATTCCATTGTATCATTTTGCAAACATCATGGAGACGTTACTTTTGAATCTTTGAATGTTCAAAATAAGTAGTAATATTTAAAAATGCTAACTTTGAACGAGCGTTCTATTATCGTTACTGCAAGAACGTTTGTTCGTAACTTGTTAGCTGGGATTATGTCGTAACTCGTAACGCATTTCTGGGTGGCTACGTGACATTCAGAATATGACATACTTAAGCAAAACAGAAGATTGACTTTGTTGGAGACTTTAACCATCAGGAATGCAAATAAAGATCTTTATGGCGTCAGCGAATAAAGAAAGTCACTGAACAAGTTACATTCTGATGAAAGATTATGAGCAATTTTTTAACTTGTACCATGAGTCATTCACAATAGGAACATTTATAAAGTTCCTATAAATATAAAGTATTTTTGGATTTCATATTGGATTTACAGCCATTTCCTCTATTTTAACCAGACTTGCGTCAGTTCTTGTTACAGTTGTGCTATTATTCTTTAAAGCCTGGTGTCATCTCATGTTCCTCTGTGAAATCTAATTCACTTCAGCTCCTCTGACATGCACACTGTAAACGTGTTTGTTTGTTTGTCTCAGGTTGTTAGCGCAGCTCGATGAGACGGAGAATGCGTTTGAACAGTTCTGGTCGAGGCATCACCTCAAATTAGAGCAGTGCTTACAATTACGGCACTTTGAGCAGGACTTCAGAGAGGTACGATGCAATGGGTGTGCCTCCGTATACTTAGTAGGCAGCCATTATATACCAAGTATCCCTGGAGCGGTTGACTAGTCAACCAAGCTGAAATTGGTCTGTTGCATCTATTGTAACAGGTGAAAGTTTCTCTGGACGGCCTGACAGAGACCTTGCTGGGCCTGTCTGACACAGGGGACTGTGTGGCTCAGGTGGAACATCTACTGGGGGATCTGAAAACTTTGGAGGACAAAGCTCAGGTCAAAATCTTTTGAATCTGAAATCAGGCCTGGTATGCAAAGCAGTCCATTGAGTTTACATAGTGGGCTCAACAATAACCATTTGTTCTGCTGGCTGGGTTAAACCAGTAGTTTCCCCAGTCACTGTATAAATCCCCCAATCACTGTATAAATACATATTTATATAATCCTATACACTACCGGTCAAATGAATAATTGAATAATTCATATTTTTTAAAATAAGTTTCTTTTGCTCACCAAGACTACATTTATTTGATAAATTACAACAGAATAAAATAACTGTTTTCTATTTTAACATATTGTAAAATATAGTTTTTGTGATGGCAAGAATGCATTTTCAGCATCATTACTCCAGTCTTCAGTGTCACATGATTCTTCAGAGATCATTCTAATTTGATGCTCAAGAAACATGTCTTATTATTGTATGTTGAAAACAGTTGCTTAATGTTTTTATTGAAACCATGAAAGACTACCATTCAAACGTTTGGGTTAAGTAAAATGGGTAAAGTTAAGTGACAATATATACATACATTTATAATAGGGATGCACCGATACCAAACAAGTACGAGTACAGGAGACCAGTATCGGGCCCGATACCGATACCAGTATCGGTATCGGTGCATCCCTAATTTATAATATTTAAAAAAGACTATTTATTCACAGTTGTATATTTTAATTTATTCACATTCATATATATTAGAATTTTTAAACAAATTAAATGTTTTTATTAAAATTAATCTTTCTTTTGTGTTTGTTTATACATATGTTTCCAAGGATTAAAAACACAAGTGTGTCTTGAAAAGACCAGCAATACTGGTTACCAGGGCATGTTTTGCATGGAAGATTTTACTCTACCAAGCAACCAGCTTATCTAGAAAGATAAAGCATGTTTTTTTCTTGGCCTTTTTCAGAATGCCAAGAATGTGCAGGTATTGTGTGAAAGCATGCGGTACATAGAACTGAACTTCAAGAACGAATAAAAGACACAAACATAGTGTTGCTGTGACGACACTGCAAGTCAATTACTAATAACAGTCAAGATAGCAGTGTAAATCATTCCTCATATGTTGAGCTTTATTGTGTTTATTGATCTGTACAGGAGTCTTTGGAGAAAGCTCAGCTTCACGCTCAGCATGGTGACCAGCTCATTCAAAGTAACCACTATGCCGTGGACTCCATCCGGCCGAAGTGTGTCGAACTGCGGCGGATCTGTGACGACTTGAGCAATGAGGCCAAAAAGAAACGTGACATTCTGACCAAATCACTTGAAATCCACAAACGAATCGATGAGGTTCGTGAGACAACACACATCCTGTCAAATTACCACACAGGCACCTCAACATTGAGTTTTTACCTTGGGGTGATTGATTCGAGACATGGAAAAAGTTTGATTTTGAGAGATGACATGCAGGTTGTCAGAAGACAAAGACATTTACAAAAAAAAAAAGTAAAAACAGTAAGACTCGTTTCTGCATTATATATATCTTTATTTAATTTTTTCACCATTTTAGAAAATGTAATTTCATATAAGAGTAAAACAAGAAAAAGGTTGAGGAAAATAAACAAAAATATAAAACTGTGAATTAACAAAATTATATTTTGCAGTGCATTTCAGAAGTATGGCTTGGCAAGAATTGCACAATTGTGCTAATGTACTGTATATAGTATATTATTTATATACTATTCTATTATCTATTAATATTCTGAATTGGCTTATTCTTATATTTTCAGTTTTCATTTTAATTTTAATTGAAGTTTTAATAATTTATGTGCTTTTGTTACTTTTTAATATTTTTATTTATTTTGAATTATTTTTATTTCAGTTTTAGTACTTTTAGTACTTAAATTTCAACTTATTTATTTCAACTTATTTTAAATTTCACTTCTTATAGTTGCTAAGGCAACATTTTTGATTTTTGTTCATGTTTTTCAGGTTTAGTCGAATTTTTTACAAATTTTTCAGTTAACATTAGTTTTACACAGTAAAAAATGATTTTTCAAGCAAAACAAGGATTAATAAAGTATGTTTTACAAGAAAATACTATTAACATTTTTCTGCTTAAAAATGTTGTTTAATTCAGTGTGTTACTACTTTTTATTTGTTTGTGAAATTTACACAATAAAAAATATGGTTTCTACAGCAATTTGTTTTTCAATGTAGATGACAAATAAAACGGCATGTGTGGGTGACTTAAATTTGATATGTGTGCGTAATAAATAAAAGTGATTATAACAGCTTTCTTTAATCATTTTTTATGGGTTGTATAATATTGCCAAATTAAATAACCTGCATTGATGTGCCTCTGTGTTTGTGTGCTGGCAGGTGAACCAGTGGTGTGAGAGTGGAGTGTATCTGTTGGCCTCTCAGGCTGTAGACAGATGTCAGACCCAGGAAGGTGCAGAAGCAGCGCTGCAGGACATCGAGCGGTACATGAATTCAGCCAAAGAGCAGCAGCTCAGTCACCTCAAAGACCTAAGCAACCAGTATGAGATCGTCCTCTCAGAGTGGGTCAAGGTACAAATGAAGCGGATTACAGTTGAATACATTTGCATACAGTCAAATCCACAAGTCTTGTCTACATTATTCAACTACATTAGTTAACATGAACTAACAATGAAAAATTCTTCTAAAGCATCAATTAATCATAGCTAATGCTAATTTTAACATGTACTAATACATTTTTCAAATCAAAACTATAATGAAAGTGAATGGTGACCAAAAATTAGACTATTATATTATATTATATATTATATTATATTATATAACTAACATTAATAAAGATTCATATTGTGGAGTGTTACCAAATTGTTTAATATAGAATATTATAAATTACATAATTATTATATAAAAAATATTGAAAATTATATTAATTTGAACTGAAATATTAAGATCCCAGAATTTATTATGTATTTGATATATCCTCCTTTTAGTGACAGCAGCACTTATGCTGCCTGATCTCTCATTATTCAATGATTGACCTAGAAATAGTACTGAATATTAAATATTTCTAATTTATTTCAAATCTAGTTAAAATTTTTCAAAAGGTTAAAACTAGATGAATCCCAGATTTTAAATTGTGTTTCAGACTTTTGGAGCCCACTCTAGATGTAATGATGCCGATCATCTGTTTCTGATAAATAACTGATTTTATATATAATCACTTTTATCTCATCTCATGCAGGGCAAAGCTCAAACCGCTCTGAAAAGGCTGGATAACGTTCAAGAGATGTTTGAGAAAAGACACGCGAGTCTGAAAAAGCTTTCTGCAAAGCAAACAAGGCCAGTGCAACCAGTTGCACCTCGACCAGAATCTTCACCAAAACGCACTTTACCTAAAATCCCACATCACACTGCACCTAGTAAGTAAAAAAAATAAAAAAATAACCAGGTGTATGTTGACTGAAATGCATACATGTCCAGACTACTAGTGGTTTATTGTTTGTAATCTTATCACTTAACCTTTATTTTCCAGAAGCATGTCCTCATTTCAGGTTCATAACCTGAGTATTAAATGCTCAGGCTTTGTATCCTGAATTATTTAAGTGGAAAATATGAATGCCTTCCAGCTTGTTTAACTCTGTTTTAAACTCAACAGCATCAAATCGCAAAGCTACTGAAAACTCCTGCCCCAGTAAGCAGCCCAGTGACGCAGAGCTGGCAAAAAGGAAGAATATTCGCAAAGCCAAAGGTGGCATCAAGGTATATCAGTTTGTGTCAGTTACATGGTCACATCTGAAATAAATGCCAAGTTCTGTCATTTAACTCTAGATGGTGCAGGCTGATGGGTCGTTAATTCAAACGGATGATATTCCAGCGTTAAACTACTTGGCACAAGCTGATTGGTTCATGCTGCATACGCAGCCAATGAGCTTGCTGCTTTACATTTAAATGGTTCGTTAGCATCCACTAAAGCATTTCGCAGTGCACTTTCAGAGTTCCTCTGAAACCCTCCACCTCCCCAGCTCCACCTGTATAGATCTACTACGGATTACTATATATGCTACTTGTGCAGCAGCATGTCTTAAATACTCACAGCACCGTATCTGCATATGTATTAGCAGTAGCAAGTTCCTGTACTTGCTTTGCAGCAGCAGCAATAATCTACAACTACAGTAATAACCAACAGCAGCAGCAGTTTAGCAGCAGCAGTGTAGCAAATCTATTCCGCCAAGACCAAATACTGTACATTGTCTTATTGATTATCATGCTAAAATCTTCAGAGAGTTGTCATGATAGAAATGTTTTTTTTTTAACATCTAATAAGCATTTGTATGTATAAAAACCTAGTTAGCCTGGGATTAGATCTTACCTTTAAAATCTTTTACTGTATATCATTATTACACATTATACATTCAGCTCAAACATAAAGCCATTTTCTTTCATTTGAATCCTATATAGTTTTTGACCAGTGTGTTCTGTCTTCCTGTGGTTTCTCATAGATTGAGGTCATGCATGAAGGAGGGCAAGGGGGTTCGAGTCTTGTCCTCATGAACAATGAAACAGAAGAGTCGCTTTCAAACAGACGCAGGTAAGAACATGTCTTCTGAGAAAGAGCGTCTCACAAGATAAGGTGAAGTATATTAAGCAGTGTCAGAGATTCTCTTTATGAAAAGTACAACACTGTTTTACCCACTTGAATTGATTTTCAGGGACTTATTTTATAGCTAGATTGAAATGTGTCTTGAACATGTAAATTGAAATAAATTCATTTTAATTACTTTATCAATATGAACACAATTCTTCTAATATTTATATATTTTAAGCCTTTTTTTCAATTAATGATTTATTTTTTTCGGTTTAGTTATATAATAACTAAATATAGTATATAATATGAATAATAATGAAATTATTACAGCAGAGCAACATTTATTCATTACTTGTTTTGCAGTTTAGTAAATATATTATCACAGACTTAAAGAGACAGTGAAAATTCACAATTCACTTTGTCTCATGTTGTTCCAAACACATTCAACAACACTCATCTTTGTGAAAATGGCCTATTCTGCCAATTGGGCAAAATGAGAATAAGAAACTGACACCACCAAAGCAGTGACTCAAACTCTAATGGTTTGTGATGACACGCATTTGATCACACATCTGATGCCATTTCTGAATGTACAGGATTAACTAGTTTGTCAGCATATCTTATATCTCACTCAGAACATACAGCACAGTACATCAGATATCTGGTTAATGTCTCAGGATACAGCATTGTTGACATCAAACAGGTCAAGAAACATTTAGCTGATGGGTCTCAAATACTGTTCTTTTGCATGACACACTCTCTCTTGTATTTTGCACTACTGCGACTATGGTTTCTAATTACTCACTGCTTCTGCTTTTTACATTATATTTCGCCATATATAGGTAGTTTCTGTTGTGTGGTGTAAGTTGTGAATTTTATATTGTGAAACTTCTGGTGTAGGGCATTTTTGCCCTGTAAAACCAAAGTGTGATTTTGTTCAGATTTTGGTTTTTGTAGCTTATAGCTGATTTTTGGTCACTGATGGCTGAGCAAACTATCAGTCTTCATGCTGGTATCTGGCGCAACATACTTTTTCATGTGCATACTGATGTCTGTATGACCTCTGCTTGTAGAAATATCAGTCTTCCTGAAAAAGTCACTCGGCACCTGTCAGAGTATTACTACGTTTTTTTTTTTACCGTTTTTAAGGAAACCTTCTCATAAAAATAATTGTAGTAACAAACAAGTTTAATAGAGTCAGTTTAATTTTAAAATGATCTCAATTTTACACATACATTTTAGTTGCACTTACTCAATGTTTTTTAGTTATATGAACTTATACCAGGACATTATCCATTAAAGGCATAGTTCACCCTAAAATGTAAACTACCCCTTACTCAAGTCATCCTAGGTGTATATGGCTTTCTTCTTTCAGATGAATACAATCGGAGTTAAATTAAAATGTCCTGGCTCTTCCAAGCTTTATAATGGCAGTGAATAGGTGTTGAGATTCAATACTCCAATAGAAGTCCAAAAAAGTGCATCCATCCATCATAAAAAGTGCTCCACATGGCTCTGGGGGTTAATAAAGGCCTTCTGGAGTGAATTGATGTGCTTGTGTAAGAAAAATATCCATATTTTAAACTTTATAAACTGTAATCTCTAGCTTCCGCTAACTGTCGCGTGTACATGAGAGAGGGGCGTTTCAGCAGATGATGTAGGCGAATCGTAAGAATATGCTAGTCTTGCGAGAACCAAGTTGACAGCAAAGGAAATCCAGTCTCCTCTTGGCTTATATCAAAATTCTCTGTTATTTTTCTTTACAATCTTCCTTTTGTACCTCTAATTCGTGACTGGTGTTTTGTTTTGCTCTCTCCTCTGCGCTTCCGCGTTCATCACTTCTTACCGGAGCTTATACTGCGCCTATGTCATGTGTCATCTGCTGGAACGCCACTCTTTCTCGTGAACGCATGAATGGTAATTTTCATTTTTGGGTGAACTATCCTTTTAACATTTAACCCTAAAACACAACGCAGATACAGGTAAAACACCTGTAAAAAATCAATAAAGAAAAAAACGTAATATTAATTCAGTACATTGTGCTCTGTGTATGTTTTTTTTATTTTTTTTTTTACAGTGCAGTTATGTTGTTCACAGGGCTAAATTTACCTCTTATTGTGACATAGGCAAAAACATTTTTGGGTCCCTCTTCCTTATACTATTACCATCCAAAAACAGCAAACAACATTCATCATAATCTGTGGAAACCATTGCAGTGTTCTCTATCACAGAATCCCGTTGCTGATTACAAAATGTTGTTTTATTATACAGCTAGTAATGGAGGCTTGAGCTTTTAATATGCAGACTAATGCAGCTACTAGAGAGAGAGAGAGATTAAGTCTGAGTCTGTGCGTCTCTTAACCATGTCCGGCATGCTGCAGCTCTACCAATAGCGAATATGTTATATATTAATGCCTAGAATGCCAATGCATAAATGTGCTTGTGCATTTTAAGTTCCTGTTGCACATGTGTGCATGCAAATGCATTAAACAAATAGGGAAATTACTTTATACTACATTGATATTAGCACAGATGTCTTATTGAGTCAAACAACATACACTTTTATTAATGTCCCCACCCACAACCCAACCACAAGCTCTGCTCTTTAGCATTTTAGAAACCACTAAAACTTCACCGTAACAAAAACTCTTTCAAATGTCAAACACTTAACGCTAAGGGGTCTTTCTCTTTAAATAAATAAATAACAAAACAGCACGTCATTTCCACATTTACTGTCCTGATCCAGCCTTAAGCATGCTGAGAACTAAAAATGCCCTGTTTAGTTTCAATTAATGCAACCAAAATGATTCATGTAGTTTCAACACAGATGGATTAGGTAAACATACTTTTCAGTAATTGCGTTTCTTTAGCTTATTATAATTACCTAAACTTAATTCGCAGCAAAAATAATTTGAGTATAAGTTGTTGTTAATATAATCTAGAAAAAAAATTATGTGGTACAAGAGGAGTCAAAGAGGGTCAAACTGCTTTAAAAATGATGCAATTAACACTTTAATTGATTTTAATTCAGAATGATAGTGGGAAATAAAAACACTTATGGCAATATACATTTTTGGCAGTGTTTTCGCATACTGAAGCTTCATTCTTATTCTAATTATTCTTAGTGGTGATTCTTATTATATTCTGTAATACAGTAATTTCACATTACAGTATGAAGAATAATATTGTTTGTATTTGGTTGATGAGATTGAGGGTTAGTTGTCATGATAGTAATGTCACAATGCAATAAATCTCAAAAGGCTTTGATTTATTGTTGTAAAATGTAACTTGTTAAAATCCTCATTCACAAGTAGCACCATCAGTTCATTAAAATGTTTGAAAGCATATGACATTTGCAGCAGGAAAGAAAGTTAAGACACACTCTCTAATAGCATGCCACAGTGAAACATATACTTTCCTAGTAGCTAAATACAGTCTTAATACACAGGAGCTGAAACTAAGAATATGCTAAAATGTCGAAGCCCATTTCATCCCACAAAAATGATGGCTGTTATTAGGGCCATAAATGATTTTTTGCCAAGTGGCAGTATGTTCATGATGATAAAAACAATTTAAATAAATAAATAAATAAATTAAATGCTAATATTGCTTTTAATATTACTAGTATTAAGTATTAATTAAATGTTATTATTCATTTTCTCCTTATCCTTTTTTAGGTTTATAATTCTCATTCTCAGTTCATGATAATTCTTAGTATTTTTCATAACTGTAATCATACACTACAGTAAAATTACTATGATATTTTTTTCTACCATGACATAAATTATTTTGAAATAATATACCATTATTTGTCTTGCAATACAGAGATGAGAATCCCTCATTCCTGCTCTCTCGCCCTACACTGTCCATGAAAAATAAATAAATTAAAATAAAATTAAAAAAGTGCAAAACAAATGCTTAGGGCGCACAGCTTTTAACTTTATTGGGAACTGACAAAATGTTCAACATTTAAAGCAAAAGTAAACCAAAGAGAGAGAAAAAAAAAATGAAATACTGCTCGGACTTCACAGTGCGTCATGTAAAAGCTGCCATGCATGAATACGTGTTTGTAAAGTACGGCTTACAAAGCAGCGTCATTTTCACAGCCGTACAATAGAGTTTCCCAACCAGTCCAGACGAAATACTTTTTACCTGCGGGGCGGTCGCAACCTTCCACAGATACCGGATATCGTCCTCGTGTCCATGAGAGGTGATCATTTTTTCATAGATGCACGGGTGATAGGGCGTTTTCCCCTCACCCGAGAAATAAACGTGTTCCTGAGGCGAGACGCCCGCTGCAATGGCACAGATACCCATGAAGACGTCATCGATATACATAGAGGCGTTCAGAGACTGCGTGGCCTGATAGATTTTGGCTGCCACGTCGCCAGAGACCACGTACCCCGCCCCGGCGGTGTAATCTGGGTAGGAAGACCACTGGTACATGTCGAAGGGCATGTAGTATTTACTGTCCCTGCGGCGAACAGGAGGCGCCCCCCTGTGAACGTGGCCGACCCAAAGGTTGCGCACGTTCTGTCTTCTGAGGTCCTGAAGGTAGCGCACCAGGTTGGGCAAATGGATGAAGATGTCGTCATCTGCAGTCATGAGGAAACGGGCATGGGCGCAGTTTTCGTGCGTCCAGCGGAACTGAAGCAGCAGTTTCACAGTGAGGTTGTGGAACGTGTCAAGGAAGTCCTGCTGAACCAAGTCACCGTGGTTCATGTGCTCCTTGTGCAATTTGTCCTGCAGTGAGCTATCAAAGCGCACCACAGGGTGAACTCCCATAGCAAACACTAATTTTACGATAAAGCCCAGCTGGTGACTTATGTAGGACTCGTTGCCCCAAGTGGAGCGAATGGCCTGTCGTCTTCTGAAGTTTCCTGGGGAGGACTTCACGAAGAGGAGAAGCAGCACGTCTTTGTCTTTACAAACGCCCTCGTTGTTCAGCAAATAGGGGAAGCTACCAAACCTGGCGGCTTCCTTTGGACTGACGCTGAGGCTTTTGTTGATGAAATCGTAGCTGTTGATTAGGTAGCGGTAGGAGTAGGACTTCACATGGCTCACGACGCTGTGGTCCACGTGGTCCCAGCAAACCATAAGGACTGACATGACACAGCACATGGAGACAAGCTGTAGAAAATGCCATTTTCTCATCCTTCTGCAATTCATGAACATTCTGCTAAGCTGCGCACGCTCTCAACCCCTCTCTCTTGTCAAGTCCAGTAATGCAATCCAGATGTACTGCTCTCGATGATTTTCCAGGACTGGGTTTGCCTGAGTTCCATCGTAGTCATCTCAGTGCAGATGTGCTGGCCTACCGGAAGCGTTAACCCAAAACATTTTCCGCCTTTTTGTGTCCTTTTTCTTACACTTTACACAAAACGTCTGTCGGTCAAGAAAATCCACTGTATGGCATTAACACTGCATTTGTGTTCTGTAAAGAAAGAAGAATGATTATCTCAAAACAGGGATCGCAACGATTTAAAACTAAAAATGATTTAAAAAGACTAAAAATAATGACTAAAAATAAAAAAAATGACAAAAAAATATCAAAATAATAATAAAAAATGTAATATTTATTATATATTTAAACTCTAAACACTGTGTGTGTGTACTGGTATATATGGTTTATGAGGACACAAATGTGTATAATGACATGGGTACTACAGCGTAAACATGGTTTATGAGGACACTTCCTGTGTCCCCGTAAAACAAAAGGCTTAAAAAACATACAAAACTCTGTTTTATGAAATTCAAAAATTGCCAGTAGTTTTCTGTAAGGGGTAGGTTTAGGTGTAGGGTTGGTGTAGGGCGATAGAAAATACAGTTTATACAGTATAAAAACCATTATGCCTATGGAGAATCCCCGTAAACCACAAATGCAAGTGTGTGTGTGTGTGTGTGTTTACACACACTACCATTAATGAAAAATTGGGGTCAGTAAGATTTTTTTATTGAAAGGAGCTTCTTAGATGCTATCCAGTAGGGATGCACCGATACCACTTTTTCCAGTACTCGGGCGTTTGGTATCGGGGCATTTTAACGAGTACGAGTACAGGAGCTCAGTATCGGGCCCGATACCGGTATCGGTGCATGCCTACTATCCAGGGCTGCTAATATTTGATCAAAAATACAGTAAAAACATAAATATTCTAAAATATTATTACAATTTAAAATAACTGTTTTCTATTTTTGTATATTACATCTTATTGATTCCTGTGATGGCAAAGCTGAATTTTCAGCAGCCATTACTCCAGTCTTCAGTGTCACTTGATCCTTCAGAATTAATTTCTGATATTCTCAATCCTTTAGAATTCTTTTTTCAGGATTGTTTTCGGAATAAAACATTCAAAAGAACTGCGCTGATTTGAACTAGAAATCTTTTGAATAAACGTAAAAGCCTTTACTGTCACTTTTGATCAATTTAATGCATCCTTGCTAAAAAAAACAAAAAAAAAACTTTTAATTTCATTGCAGTCACTTATAAGCCATTTGCTTTCAAAACAACATTCCTCTTTAACAAATGCTGCCTGTTTGCATCATTTGTTGCGAGAGCTCATTGAAAACCTTGACCATGTGGGGAGACTCGGCGAATCGATCTTGTGAATGAAAGCAATCGTCGACTCAGCACTACGCTGAATAAAAGGATTTAAACCACCGAACACGCTGATGTGCTGAGTGCTGTACAAAACATTCACGACCGCGAAAAGACCATTACAGCAGCAAATCTACTCAAAAGGCGCAACACAACAACAATGCATGTCATAATATCCCACACCCTAAACAGCCGAGTGCCAGGAGCAGAAGGGATTGTATGACAAACTGGATCACTTGCTCATACCAGCCGCTCTGTGCAATTATTAGTTTCACATTAATCTGCATGACCATCCATCCCATTTTTAGTCATTTTGATTAAAACTTGCCTACATATATTTCATTATTACAAATAAAGTTTATATACATAAAAAGATTGTTAATGTAGATTTGAATACATTCTGCTTTGCGTTACAAGTGAAACTGGTTACCTTCACTACATTTTCATTTTCACATGTGAATTTATTCAGTAACTTCAACACTGTTTCATGTTGACATGCCTTTAAAAAGTAAATTTAATCTTCATGACCTGTTCAACTCCTCTGTTTAATATGCTCATATAACTCACCTTATCTAACAGTTTTGCCCACTATATCTCAGTGATCACAATCTCTTTCTTTTGATATGTTATCATCAGCTGTGTGTATTTCATTTGCATTTTAAATATCATAAAACACTCCCTAAGTGACTCATTTGAAAACCACTACAAGCTAAAGTTCATATTTTAATAGCACAGTCAATCATATGATACTGACACCGTGTTTAAAAGAACAGACTTTTAGGCTTGGTGCTATCATTCATCCCCCCCAACTGACACAACAGTGGAAAGACCTTTTGCACTTCCAAAAGTTAAATCTCTTAGCTTTTTTTCCAGAAAGATCTCCACACTTAGTCAAAAACATATGACTTACCATTGAGGCCCATCCATGATGTAGTAAATGTGCAAAAGTATTTGTTTTTAAGCCCTGGACCTCAGTCGTATTGTGGCAGCTGTACTGAAAGCAGTAGTGTGTAGCTGCTGGTGGAGCTTGTATTTGAACGGGAATGTTTCCTGATGGGTGGGGAGGGGGGAAAAGTACATGCCTCTTCTTAAACATTGGCCAACTTTATCATACGAACAAACTGAAAAGAAAGACTTCTCTGACAGAATCGTGGAATTTGGGTCATCTGATTCACATAAGCAGACTACACCTCAGCACAATAAATGCAATTCATCTGTGTTAGAGGAGAAGTGGATAAGGGTCAATATCACTGTAGGGTGCCTTTTGGTGTCCTGTATATAACTCATTTGCCATGATAACCTAATATAAAAATGACTATGAAAGTGTGTTATATTAGGCTAAGTTTTTATATTAACAACAAAAGCATTATTTGGCTCTTTAGATACATTTTCTAGATTTTTGTTTTGTTTTGTGTAAGAGGATGTGTTATTTTGCTATGTCCCATGCACTGCTCATTAAATTTGAATAATAGTAGAATAATGTCAAATCATAAACTTAAAAAAAAAAAATTCCTATTAATATTTTGTTAAATAAGAGATTACTCAATTTGAGTGTATTGATCATTTAGTAATAAAAACTAGGGATGGGCGTATCGATCCGAAGTATCGATATTGACGCGAGTATCGAAAGTATCGATACTCAAACAAAAAATATAGATACTAAGGTGTGTTTTATTTACCAGTGATTTAGTTTATTTAACAACAAAAAAATAATGCGTACAATATGCATTGAATTGCACGAATACCCTTTGTTAGCGAGTAATTGTGTAGGATAGAACTATTTTCCTGCTCATCTGAACACACGCAAATGTTGCAAGACATAACTAATCAATCAGAGAGCGTTCACTCACTCCTGACAGTGCATTCAAACAGGGCTGCGTTTCCCAAAAGTATCATAAGAAAGCATTAAAGCTTTTGGGAACGGCAGCCCTGAACAATGCTTATCAGAGGACAGAAGGACAGAGTTATTTCACAATAAACCAACTGAAATTGTAGCCTACATAGTTTGTGCAATTGCAGTTATTTAAATCGAACGTTGAAAGGTAATATTGATCATGTTCAATTATGTAATGTTAATAGAAATCATACACTGTCAGATTAAAAAGGCAAAAAACATATTTGAACCATGTGTAAACAAAAAATATAACCTAAGTTACCATTAAGGCGTATTGAATGTTAAAATGCGTTTTAAACAAAAAGTTAAGTGATTATCATTACCCATTTTACTCTTAGTAATTTAATAATTTAATAAATTTCATAATTTAAAAGTTTAGTTCAGAAGTATCGAATCGGTATCGATATCGACGATACTGCCTTGAAAAATATCGGTATCGTATCGAAAACAAAATAAGTGGTATCGCCCATCCCTAATAAAAACTATATTTTTTTTTAATAAAAAAGAAGAGTTTGTCCATGTCCCTTGAATGGTTGTGCACCCTGTCGTATTGGGGAATTCGCCCCTTTAAGAAAAGGCCATCCCTTTTAGTGACATCAGGACAACAGATTTTATGTCTCTTCAGTGGCGGGAATTTCAACGGCTGAGGTGAATAAGTTGGTGTCTTTTCATTTGACAAATTTTCTTCGTACGAGTTTGCTTACTTGCTTTGCCAAAGCTTAACATGTCAACCCTGTCGGCATAAAATATGCCAGAAGTGATTCGAATACAGTATTTTCAAAATATGTACATTTAAATATACCAAATTCTCTTCAACAACCAGACTAAATATTCAGCTAGTCACAGTTCGTTGTAAGATATGCTAATTGGCGCTCAAATACTCAAGTACATACTGAAGCTTCCGTCTTAAACAGTGCCTCTCATCACACCGATGTTCTGACCTTTGTTTGACAAAATAATGAAAGCTTTTTTGTTTTGCCCTTTCTCAACAGCCACATAATGAATGAATTGATTGAGACGGAGAGGCTGTACGTGGAAGAGCTGCAGAGCATCATAGAGGTACATGTATCTGAAATTAAAGAAACAGGAAATGTTGCAAAAATGCACGCATTGTAAATACATGTACTGTTCAAAATGTTGGTTTCAGTAAGATTTTTTTTTTTTTTGAGAAATGGATGCTTTAATTTAGCAATGATGCATTAAATTGATAATTGACAGTATAGACTTTACAAAAGATTTAGATTTAAAATGAATGCAAATGAATTCAAATGATTTTCTTTTTATTTTATTTTTTTGTTGTTGTTGTTCATCTAAGAATCCTGAAAAAATGCACCACAGTTTCCACGAAAATATTAAGCAGCACAATTGTTTTCAACATTGATATAATAATAAGAATGTCTCTTGAGCAGCAAATCAGCATATTAGAATGATTTCTTAAGAATCGTCTGACGCTAAAAAGTAGTAATGGATGCTGAAAATTCAGTTTTGCATCACAGGAATAAATTAAATTTTTAAAACATTAAATGTTGTAATAATGTTTCAAAAATGTTAAAAATTTTATAAATTGCTCAGAATCTCACACAGCTCATACAAATAACAAAAAAAGACTGATTTTTAGCAGCTGGTCCTAGCCCGCGATTTGTCAGATTAATAAGTATTTGCTGAAGTTCAGTTGTTCAAGTAATGTAAATGTATGTCAAAACAAGTGCATCAGCTGTAGTTATATTAGTTAAACATCTGTTGTGCAGTGTTGAAATAATTGACTGTGGTTTTGTTTGTCGTGTTTATTTTTGTGCAGGGATATGCCGCTGCACTGGATGACCCCGAGCTGATCTATTTGATCCCTCCATCTTTGGAAAACAAGAAGGAAGTACTCTTTGGAAATCTGCCTGAAATCTACGTATTTCACCAGAAGTAAGGAAACGGAAACTTTTTGACACATGTCGTAATTTCCAACTTAAGGACATTATAGGCAGTTTCTAGCTGGTCAGGACTAAGGTAGACCACCTTGGACAAGCAACAAACTTGCTACCGTACCACTTGGTTGATCAGTTTGCACCAGCTACGTAGAAACCAGCTGCCATGTTCCGAAACCCGCTAGCAGCTCAAGCTGGATTTTCCAGAAGGGACTGCGCCCATGTCCAGTATGAGCCAGACCCTCCCCCAACGTGACCCCACATTCCTGACGAGACTCTTAGGACAACTGGTTAGGCTAGTTTCTTTTCTGATGCTTCCCTATAGTGGAAACTTCACACCCTAATCATCTTATCCACAAGAGTTTTTTGAATAGTGAGCCAGAGACAAACAATAGTATGTCGGGAATGGAGGTGTGGTGGGTTTTGTGGCTTGAGATATTGGATTGTCACTAAAAGTCCATAGGGGTTTTGCGGGCCTGTTGTTCGGCTGGCCTCATGCTACCGATTATTGTTGTAGAGTTCATTGTCTCCCACCTGGTGTCGAGTTACAGCAAAGTCCAGGATTATGACAATAACAACCCCCATAGCGGGTTTGTGTGTCTGTCTCCCCATATGTCTTTCCTCAGCACCTGCTTCTACCGCGTCAATCGGGTGCAGATAAACAGCCGCTAATCATTGCCCATCATTCCCAGCTGCAGCCTTGTTTTTGTGCTTTTACAGTCACTGAAACATGTCATCATGTCAGTAATGAAAAGCGTGAGTCCTCAGAGGCTTTTGTGTGTGTTGTTGATATTGGATATGCTGTATTGATTTGTTTGACAGACATGAAATATAAACAGGCTTTTCTTAGGAATAATCATGTAAAGATTCAGTGAAAGGAGAGCAGAGGGATAGTTCACCCAAAAATTGTGTAATTTCTCACATGATTTTCATTATATGTAAAATCAAAGGTGAAGTTTAGAAGAATGTTAATGCTACGCTTTCCCATATAATGAAAGTGAATGGTGACCAAAAATTGGACATAAAATATTATATTATATTGTATTATATTATATTATTTTTATTGTGCTTCTTTGTGGTTTTTGGAGCTTTACAGTCTCTGGTCCTGGAAAAGAGCCGTGTGAACTGCTTTTCCCTGCCTTTTGTCCACTCATTACCTTCAGTCATTCATTTGTTCCATTCTATTTTGACAGGACTTTTCTCAAAGAGCTAGAAAATTCTGTGGAAAAGCCGGAGTTAGTAGGAACATGTTTTTTGAAGCGGGTGAGTGACGTTATGGTGATGTGCTCTGTGAAATACAGTACAACTATAGTATGTGAAATGGGATCCTAAGACTTGTCTCCATCTGCTGTCTTACAGAAGGAAGAGTTACAAATTTATGAGAAATATTGTCAGAATAAGCTGCGATCGGAGGCTTTGTGGCGGCAGTGTGGGGACAGTATGTTCTTTCAGGTGAGGCTTATATAAGCACACCTATATATACACAGTATACTATTCAAAAGTTTGGGGTCAGTAAGATGTTTTTTAAATAAATGCAGCCTTGGTGAACATAAGAGAGGTCATTATGTAATCAAAAATGCAGTAATATTGTGAAATATTAATATAATTTGAAAAACCTTTTTACTATTTCAATCCATTTTAAAATGTAATTTATTTCTGTTACGCAAAGCTACATTTTCAGCGTCATTCCTCATTCTGATATGCTCATTTTCTGATCAAGTAACAATTATTATTATTGTCAATATTGGAAACAGTTGTGCTGTGTAATATATTTGTGGAAAACAGTGAAACATTTTTTTCAGGATTCTATACATTCTAATTAGGGGTTGGAACGGTTCAACTTACGGTTCGGTTCGTATCACGGTTTTAGAGTCACGGTTTCGGAATGGTTCGGTATGTGCTATGTTTAGGAAAAACTATACTGTCAAATAAAAATAAGGAAAATAAGAATAATCTATCTAACTAAAGGCAACAGCACAAATAAATACAATAGAGTAAAGATACAAATAAAATAAACAGTGATTTTCAGTTTTTTTTTAGGTAGGTCTAACATTAGTTTTTAGGTTCAGAAATTGAATAAAGTAATGAAATGTAAAACAGCAGTGCATATTTGACTGTATAAATTAAAGGTGAATCTTTATTAAAGTTACAAAAGCTATTCAATCAAGAGCAGTGAGTGATTTCTTTTTTTGTTGCTGTTTGATTAATATTAAGAAAGTGCTGTCACTTTAAGAGAATGCACTGATCCAGTGCACTGATACAGTACGTTCAGCCGGCTATGTCTGCTATAGGATACTTACCAAGACGGGCATTTTGACATAATGTTTGTGTGAATTTGTCCATTTAAACAATACTTCAGAGAGAGATTAATATTTGAGCGCGTTCTGAGGCACGGGTTTGCGCGCTTCGGATGAACGCACACACAAATCTTCCCACTGCGCGCGCGAGCTCGCATCCTCTGGCTGAGACTGGCTCTTAAATGTTTAAACTGGCAAAGCTTAAATGAGTTTAGATTAAACACAGATATCAACGTGTGCTGTTCAGGTCTCACCTGTGCGCGTGCGCTATCAGCACCTGGGTGATGACGGAATAAATGCTCATATTCCATCATACGGCATTCGCATTGAACAAGAGTGAATGGTTTGTCCACTTTTTTTTTTTTTCATCGCTGTTGTTGTAATGTATTTGGAAGCCAGAATGCGCATCCATCAACAGAAACATATATTAGCCGAACCCTGTTTGTTTTACGTGTTATTTATAGCAAACCATATTACAGATAAGTTGAACCGCAGTCCTAGCGCGTGCCGAACCGTGTGGAGAACCGTATGGTTAGATTTTTTTCCGCGAACCGTTCCACCCCTAATTCTGATACTCACTTTTGATCAGTCCTTGCTAAATAAAAGTAAATTTTCTTACAAAAAAATTTTTATTTATTGACCCCAAACTTTTTTAATTTTTTTTACTAAACAAGAGTCCCTTCCCTAGTAGAAGACAACTAGCTCCCTTTCAAATGTTAAAAGAGTTTTTAATGATTTTTGAACGTAGGAGTGTCAAAAAAGGTTGGACCACAAGCTTTCATTAGATGCGTATCTGCTAAAGCCTGTGCAGAGAATCACCAAGTACCAGCTGATGTTAAAGGTAAGTCTTTTCCCATCTTTTTCAGTTTGTTGCATATGTTTGTTTGTATATCAAGGTGGAGATCTCTCAGTTGACTTTTTATTGATTTTAAATTACGCTAATATACTAACCCTTAACTTTCACCCATTTTACATGTAAAATAAGACATTGTTTTTTCACACACATTTCTTGATCCACTCATTTTACAGGAGATGCTGAAGTGCAGTAAGAACTCAGAGGGCACCGCAGAACTGGAGGAAGCTCTGGCCACAATGCTGGATATCATCAAATCAGTCAATGACTCCATGCATCAGATCGCCATTACTGGTTTTGAGGTTTCTGCACATTACATTATGTGTATCACAATAATTTGCATGTTGAACAGATACGGTATTTGAAGGTCAATATTTTGCATGGTGTGCACCTGCTTTTGTGTGTGTGCTAATTTAAGTCTCATATGTGATTTCAGGGCAATCTGAATGATTTGGGAAAACTGCTCATGCAGGGATCATTTAATGTTTGGACAGACCACAAGAAAGGTCACAGTAAAGTGAAGGACTTGGCACGCTTCAAACCCATGCAGAGACATCTCTTCCTCTACCACAAAATGCTTTTGTTCTGCAAGAAACGTGAGGAGACATCTGATGGCCATGAGAAATCCCCCTCCTACAGTTTCAAACACTCATTAAAGGTGGGACCGACACCATCAGAGATTTGTGCATGAAAGTAATGAAATAGTTAACATCTGGCTGTACAGAATGAGCTTCATATCTTACACTGAAGGCATATTTTGTCCTTGAACAACGTGGCAATTCCTATTTGCTCTAAGTTCTCATTTATTTTCAGAGCAAGTATTTGACATCTTGATTGTGACATGAGACATCAATTAAAACAATCCCTAGTAGTTGTCAGCTGGTTGTGCCTCAGGTTTTACATTAAGTGGTGATTTAACACACACACACACACACACACACACACACACACACACACACACACACACACACACACAGACATGTGTATTTGTGTGTGTGTGTGTGTATATACATGTAGATTTAAATTTAGATTTAATTATTTGATGAAATTTATAATTTTTTCCTCTTTTTATCCTCTTTTTTTTTTAGAGTTGATAAGCCTATTTATTTAATATACTGTCATAATATTGTAAATAATCTTATGTATAGCATTTTTTCCATGCTGATTTGACCCTGTCATAAGAAATTTGTGTCTAATTTTGAGTCATGACTTCGCTATAGAGCAATCATTTCCATCTAAATCATTATCAGTGTATCAAAATGATGAATAGTGAATTATATGTGGGCCACGCTAAAAATAAATACATTTTAGATCATATTATATTTGATAAGTTGAGAAACTGATCAGTGATGTGTTTTTTCTCTCAGATGAGCTCGGTGGGAATCACAGAAAATGTAAAGGGAGATATCAAGAAGTTTGAAATCTGGTACAATGGTAGAGAGGAAGTTTACATTGTTCAGGTACAGGACACAATTTTTTTTTTTTATTAACAACATAAATAATTTTGAGTATGCAAAGTGGGGTCCAAACATATAAAAAGATTTCTATTGACCAAATGTGAGGCTCTTATTTTCTGAAAATAATTCTCTATTGTTTTCTGAAAGCACCATGTTGTTCCATCTGTTGGCCATGAGAGGGAACTGTTGTCCCACAGCAGAAAGGTTCCCATTGTTATAACAGGTCCTACATTTTCTGTCAGGCCCCTTCGATGGAAGTGAAGAACACGTGGGTGTCAGAGATCCGCAAAGTCTTAACAAGCCAGCTGGAAGCCTGCCGAGGTATTTCTGAGCAAACCTCCTTAAACTCTCCCTTCACGCAAACTCGGTCTACTAAAAAACTTGTTACAAACTACCCTGGAGAAAACATGATTCAACTACCACGTAAAGCCAAAATTAATTGAGTTGACAATGACAACCTGAATCAACCACATCTTCCTAACTTTTTTTGCATAAAAAATATTTATGCAGCTCTTCTCAGAGCTTCGAAACACCTAAAGAGAGAATTGGGCTGTTATGTGGATCTATCGGATGGAGATATATGTTATCTCAAGTTTTTAGTTTTCATGGTTGCTTAGTAAAGGCACTGAAATCAACATCAAAGACCAAACGAATCCTGGAGGTGTTTTGTGTGCTGTGTGAATATAGTATGTGAACATTGAATAACCTCTGCATGACTTCTCTCTCTCTCTCTCTCTCTCTCTCTCACACACACACACATATGGCATAGAAGCCAGTCAACTCCATCAGAAGATTACAGAGAACATCTACCATGCTCCTATGAGGTATTTTTATAGCCATTTTTTTATTTTGCTATTATTTAACTGGCCCCAATGTTGTGTTTAGTGGATGTACTGTAAAGTCAACTTCCCTTATATTTACACAAGTGTTGAGTAACCATGGGTGTAGTTCTTCACAATAATGTTTGACACCCAGAAAGTTTTAATAAATAATTTTATATTTTGAACAGCATATCGTTTTGCTCTAGTACTGTAGTTTTATCTCCTCCTAGCTCCAAAACTGTCTCTATTCAGTAGCTTTATTTTCACAGCTGTCTGCATCTAATAACAAACCAAATTACTCTTTGTTTGTACTTGCAAACATAATATTTACTTATGGTGGATATAATACACTTCTGATTAATGCTGTACTAAGCACATTAAAAAGACAAAGATTATTTAGATTTCTACAAACTACAATATTGTTTTATGGAAATTAGGCTAATCTGTTTACTTGATCTAATGTAAGAATATGACCAAATCCTGATTAATATCGAAACATTCTTGTGTATTAAAAATGTCTTATTTTAATATATGTTATAATATATGTTATGGCAAAGCTGAATTTTCAGCGTCATCATTACTCCAGTCTTCAAGGTCACATGATCCTTCAGAAATTATTCTGATATGCTGATTTGCTGCTCAAGAAGCATTTCTTCTTATTATCAGTGTTGAAAACAATTGTGCTGCTTCATATTTTTTGTGGAATCTGTTATAAATTTTTTGGGATTCATTGATGAATAGAAAGATAAGAGGGGAAGTTAAGAGGGGAAGTATTTATTTGCAATAAAATAATTTGATGCCCTTACTATGTACGTAACATTTGATCAGTTCAATAAATCCTTGCTGAATAAAAGTATTCATTAAAAAAAACAAAAAAACAACTTACTAAACCCAAACTTGTGAACAGTAGTGTATATGCTTATATAGTTTTTACAGTTTTAAATGCAACTTTTTGGTGAAATACTTTGATTGAAAATTGCTTGTGCTCTCTTTCTGCATGGGGCCACTGTATGCATGCAAACACATATTCTTGTGACATTTGCATCAGTTTTTTTACCGTTGTGTTCTGCTGACTTTGCTTTTATTGACAGAAATATGCGCAAAACAGCTCTCCGGCAGTCTGACTCTTCCAGTCCTGAAACAGGCTACAGGCGTGGTGATACAGGCCCAAATATGCGTCAAAAACGAGGTGAGAGCCCTTATAAATCTCTTATAAAGGCAACCGTTTCTCTAACCAACCAAACAAGCAGAAGTATTCGCCCTTCAGAGCCTCCAGCGGTCAACAAGCACTTTAATTTTCACTACTCATTTGTAGTGAAAGGCTATTTTTCACCGAGTTTTGTCTGTCTTCTTCTCTCCTACTTACTTTTTAACCATTTATTGCATTTTCCTTAATTAGGCCATTATCTCTAATCTCTGCTGTAATGGCTGTAAAATTGCCAACGGGTAATTGGTTACTGGTAAGTACTTCAAAGCTCTATTCCCCTTGGCAAGGTATTTTTGAGATGAAGCTCCGTTATAATGCTGAACGTATTGAGTCCTCTGCCGTTTCAGTCGGTCAGTCTGACCTGGACTGCTCTTGTGGAGGTGGTTTGGGGTAAATATCGCTCGGTTTGGTCTTACTGTCCTGTCAGGTTGCAGATTCTGAGTGAGTAAAGGATTGTGAGAGGTGTTTAGTTCCTCTGAGGATAGAAGTCCTCTCTGTGCTGACCCAGCGCCCCTGACAAACCCAGCCTGGAGGCAGAGGATTACGAGTCTCTGACCTGAGCTGGAGATGTTTTACACTTCTAAACATGACTCACCTTAGTCTTTGATGCCTCTGATACATCCATTATGGTATAGATTGATGCTTTTTTTCAAAGGCTGCTGCCATTGCAATATCTAGAGAGCATAATATAATATAATGCAGATATTGTACAATTTATTCACACAAATGAAATGAACATGAGATATTTATTTACTTTAACAAATATGTTTTAGGATAATTGTACTTTTAAATAAAGTACTATTTATTTGCTTAAAATCAAAATATGCAAATCAAAATATAAAAGTTAGGTTTTTAAAGATTGGATTTAAAGATTAACAGTTTTGTTTTTAAAAGTGTAATTTAAGATTTTTTTTAAATGCTTTTGAAAAAATGTGTTTTAAGCTCACCAATAATGCATTTATTTTAATCAAAATTCATTAAAATGGTAAATTGTGAAATATGATTACAATTTAAAATAACTGTTTTCTATTTTAATACATTTTAAAATATAATTTATTTCTGTCATGACAAAGCTGAATTTTCAGTGTCATTACTCCAGTCTTCACTCTCACATGATTTTTTAGAAATCTTTCTAATATACTGATTTGCTGCTCAAGACATGTTTATTATTATTATTATCGATGTTGTGCTGCTTAATATTTTTGCTGAAACCATGAAACATTTTTTTAGGATTCTTTGATGAATAGAAAGTTCAAAAGAACAGCATTTATTTATAATAATAAAAAAAAAACCTTTGTAGAATAATAAATGTCTTTACTTATTTTAAGACCAGTTTTATCATTCAATCAAACCTCCAGGAACTTTTCTTTTAAATATGTCAAATATGTGTCTTCTGCTGTATGTTTGTATACAGTATGACATGACTTATACATGTAGAATGAGATCCTGAATCTTGTTTTGTTTCAAAGATGGTCTAACATCTGGATAAATGGGGAAACATAACACCCAATATCACCTGAAGGGGTTAATACAACAAAAACAGCATATATGGGCCGCTCCATCACAGACAAAACGATTATTTTTCATGACAGATCCTTTTCCCTGCTGTTCACCTCACCCTCCACCATTTTCTATCTGCTGCTTTAACCGCAGCCCTGTCCTCCTCTCCTCTTCTAGCTGACGCTTCCGTCAGCCTCGGCTCGGAGCGATCTGCTCTCGCTAGAAAGCGCTTCACCTTACAGGGCTTGTCAAACCGCAGGTCTCTCCCCGCAGGTAACAGAACAGCATCATGGCTCATCTCTATTCGGACTCATCCATCATCTCATCCTGGTGTGTGCCTGTTGTCCCTGTTGTTAAAATTCATTGTCATCACTCTGTCAGTCGTCTCCAAGATCACTTAAGCCTTTTTTCCGACGTGAGTGACTTCTGAAAGAAACGTGGGACCCTCAAGAGCTTTGTCATCGCAGAATATTTGAATTCTCAGAGAATCTGAATTGTATGCAAAGCAAGTCAGCCTCTTCAAGCTTAAGCAAACGTCATAGTGTAGTGTTACACTGAGCTTACACTATTCTATTATCACTTTATTTTGGTCTATCTATCTATCTATCTGTCTGTCTGTCTGTCTTCATTAGATGACTTACTATTATCACTTCATTGGTCTATGTCTGTCTGTCTATGTGTCTGTCTGTCTGTCTGTCTGTCTTCATTAGATGACTTACTATTATCACTTCATTGGTCTATATCTATCTATCTATCTGTCTGTCTGTCTGTCTTCATTAGATGACTTACTATAATCACTTTATTGATCTATCTATCTGTCTGTCTGTCTGTCTGTCTTTATAAGATGACTTACTATTATCACTTTATTGGTCTATCTATCTATCTATCTATCTATCTATCTATCTATATCTATCTATCATCTATCTATCTGTCTCTCTGTCTATCTATATCCATCTATCATCTATCTATCTATCTATCTAATCTAATCTATCTATCATCTATCTATCTATCTATCTATCTATCTATCTATCTATCTATCTATCTATCGTTCTAT